GAATAAAGAAAATCCAGGTGACCATCCTGTAGTTGGGTTTAGGGCTGTAACCGGAGGGGTTAAAGGCCCAGTCTCAGGGGAAAAGCATGAATGGGGTACTGGGTAACACCTCTTGTGGCATGGATCACTCGGGGTACAAGAAGGCTTCAGCTAGGGATGTTTCAGCTCAAATGCTGTTACACCATCTCTCCTTTTTACTTGGTTATTTTTTATCAAATCCATAAGAACCCCACTCGTTGGGATGCCTTCCTCTCATCCCTACCCAAGTGTGACTGAAACTAGCCAACAGGTTCTCTAAGTTGAGGGAAACTTAGGACAGATGTGTCTAAAGTGATGGTTTTTCCACAGTAAATCAAGCTAAACACTTTTTACAATTGAAATATGCAGAAAGCATCACAGAGTTATCCTGTAAAATGGGAGAGCCCAAAATACAGCTTGGTTACAAATATGGCAATAGGCCAGCTCAACAATGATTGAAGAGCAAGGATGCCAGGAGGCTGAAAGAACAGCAACAAAGCCTCACACTTACAACAGAAGAGGAAGCAAATACAAAAGCCAAGTAAGAGGCAGGGAGAAGCTACAGTAACAAAAATATTACTAATAAACTCCCACCCTTGATAATCTAACTGAATTCAGCTGTTTTGAAATGATCTTCTTGACATACGCTTTTGTGCAGGCAGGCAAGCTTCTAACATCAGTTTCCTAAACCACAACAAACATATGATAAAGCATTATGAACCATTCACCTAATCCATTTTTTACAAAAATACTGGCTGTCCCCTGAGGGAAAAGCAAATGATGAAACAGCTGAGAAAAAGACAACTTGATTTCTCTGTTCATTTCTCTCCCTAGCTCTGATCTACTTTAAAAATAGGTGAACTAGATCCAGAAGACCAAAGGATCGCCTCAGCACGCTGAATTGTTCTTTTTTCAAAGAGTTGTTGGGAAGTTGTAAAGAGAAATCAATAAAATCAATAGTGAACAGTTTGGCTCTCACTGAGGAAGGATTCCCCAGGTCCTGGATTGAGATATAGGAAATCACATCAGGATTATGCAATCTGCTGGGAGCATGGACTGAACACTAGAGATAGTTTGCTTGAAAGCAAAAAGGATCATCACAGTTTTTAGGAGAGCTATTATTTATAACAGGCATTGGAAGTTTATTTCCACTGTCCAATTCTTCATAGCAGGTTGGTTCACATGTACTCAACCTCTCACCACTACAAGTGGCTTTAAGGATAAGGTTTACCAAACAGTTGATGGTAATATAAAAATAACTGGTAATATAAATGTAAAAAATTACTCTCAGATCCCTTTGTTCTGCCTTGTATTTTCAGCGCTTGGATACATGCTCCTTTCAATGAAAGACTGGGCTAGAATTTTACTACAAATTCTGATTCTACAGACCAGGGCATGAGGCCATAATGAAACCCAGGAAGGGATTTCTAGTTCATATTCTAGAATACATAAGAGTTTGAGAGGCAAAGGGTGTACTACCTAAATCAGAGAATACTATTCATTTACAATGTCATTCCTTCAGGGACAGAGCATCAGTTTTGAAATCTGAAGCAAAGAAAACTAACTGTCTGCAAAGTGAATGTTTATTCAGAATTTTCCTTTCCACCCATTAACCTGAAAATGGGAAATATAACGAATGAGAAAACAATCCATTAGTTTAAGGTCAAGACACAGACCTAACTTTTTTTTAAAAAAAAAAAGGCAAATAAAAGGGGAGTGCTTTGTGCTTCATCTTTCCTTGCCCAATGACGTGCATTTGAATTTATGGGTATTCAAACTTGTCTGTTCAGAATGTGACATATCCAATGCTAAGCTTGTTTTTGTCACTCATTTTTTGTATGGCATGAGGAATATTATTTTAATTTTTTGCTTCATTACCCTCATAATGAACAAGCCCATGGTACTCCCTTAAAACAATATTGTATTAGCAACGTGAGTCAAACACTAGGCAGGAATACCCACACCTTCCCAAATTAATGAAATTATTTTTGGAAGCACCAACAAATTTAAAATTTTGTAGTGAACATCAATCTCTGATTGTGGCTGAAGTCTTGGTGGCAGGAGAAGGGACTGCAGGAACACTGTGGTGCTCCTCACATCTTCCCTTAAGGAACCTAGCAATCACTTGTAGCACAGACAGAACTGCACAATTAAGCAAGCCAGGGCCCCAGTTAATGTGGCAGTTCTTGTTTGGCCTGTGCTTTGCAAAGTGCCCTGAATGGAGACACCATCACATGAAGCATCAGGAGAGTAACACTCTGGACGCCAGTGCAGGCATTTCAGACAGCAGGATGCCAAATTTTCAGAAGCATAAGAAAATACATGTCCCGTTCTGCAGACAAATCCATTGTAAGACTGTTTCCTCTGTTTGGCTTTCAGAGAGAAAACTGGATCTCCAGACAGACTGAGCCCACGATGAATTTAAGCTTCTTGCTATGTATGGAAAGCAAAACTGACCTGATCACACACAGCTCAAAGTGCTGATCTTAGTGATATTCTCTTTTTCCAAGTACAGGCTATAGTTTGTTACATTTTTTTTTTTCACAGAACGTCAAACTATACACTTACTCACTGGTGTAAATAACACACACTGGAAAGAAAAACAAGAGAGAGGAAGAGACTCAGCTTGGAAAAAGAACCACCAATTTTCGTTTCAAATGTAGCTGAACAGAAGACTTGAGAGGGAACAGATTAATGATTACAACTGCTAAACCAGGACTTCACTATAAAGTTATCATGTCCAGATGTTCTTTTTGCCTTTGACAGGTTTTGAGGTTTTACTTACAAAATAGACATGCATCTAGTCTAAGGTCATCTACATTCATTTAAAATGCCTGTAATACCATTAAGAAACTGACCTTTATGCATTCTGCACTCCCATTCACCTGCAAAATGAGGAATATGGTGATAAAAATGTTTGTTTAAATGAAGAATATTTAGTTTACCAGTAGTACATAATTAGTATCAACAGATGCATTCAGTTGCATTCCAGCAACACTGCAGTATTTTTTATGCCTACAAGTTGTAATACTGTCGCAGATGATGAGTTCAAATCCACACAAAATTTGTGCATATTAGATGTGTATTACTGACACTTCTTAATGTACACCGTATCTTTTAAAAGTTCATTGCGGTTGGAAGCTTTTAAAAACAAAAGTCTTAAAAATGGACTTTTTCCCTTGAAAGAATGACATATATCTGACTACTGTGCTGCCAAGCTGAAATATTCCCTCCATCTTCTATTCCAAAACAGATGGCAAATAACGAGCACCTTGGAATATTCTCCGCTTGCGGTATTCAGCTTGCGGTTCAGGACTTTCCAGCCCTCTGGGTTAGCACACCCCTCTAGAAAACTGCTGCACATCAAGGAGCACCAGCACAGCTGACATAATTCAGCCTCAAACCAACCTTCCCACACTTAAAAGCTCCTCGTGTAAGCTGAAACATCTGAGATTTCAATTTGGCTTAAGAGCAAAGGGACGTGTTTAGGAGCAGAAGAGCCTAAAGTGTTCAGAGGTTCAAAGGCAGCAGAAGCACTATGGATGCTGAGACACTGCATGTAAAAAGGGATGGTTTCAGCTTTTTTCCCCCCCCAGGTTCCTCACAATTCAGACATTTAGATTTAGTTACCACTCAACTGGGAGAGGAGACAAAGTGGCAAGATTTTTCTTAATGTTTCTGCAAGTTTACCAACACTGCAGTACTCCAAAGTAAACAGCAACCTTGAAAAGATCATCCAATTCCTAAGCAGTTAAATTCATAATCTCTATTAATGAAACTGTTGTTCTGTGATACAATTACTGATTAATTATCCCTTATTTTAACAAGTGTCTGTAGGCCAGAGGCTTTCTTTTCCATTTCACATAAAAGTGTATCTGCAGTGGTGTAAAAGACAATTAATTTTAGGGTTTCTTTTTCAAACAAAAATTATTTTACACAAAAACTTTCTTCAGAATGTTAAACTGAAGCTATACCTTCTTTAAAGTCTTTTGTTAACCTTGTTTGTTTCTTCAGAAAAACAATAAACTACTGTCTCAATTCAACTCTTTAAATCATGCTACTTCCTTACATAGGTCCACCTCAGTTCAAAAGGATCAAAACATATAATACACATTAATTTCAGTCCTTTTCAAATTTGCTTCTTAGAACAGTGGGTATGGGATACTCAGTTCTCCTGTAGTCAGTGCCACCATGGGTTAACTTTAACTCCAAACCCCAATTTCCAAAACTCTTCCCTTAGGCTAGCAGGGTGATACAACTTCAGCAAAGTTAGTTCTGGAGAAAACATGAATTGCAGAGGCTTTGAAAGAATTTTCGTTTTGTTTAGAACAAGATATAGGAATAAAATGAAACCATAACTTTGGTTTACAAAGTATAGCTTTTATTTTACAGACTGCTTAAATGAGTTTTCAAATATAGATTTTAAAAAGTCATGAGTGTTTCAATATATACATTCTGAAATAACATTATCACATTTACATTTGAAATACTTATTGCTAATATGTTAATATTTTTGTATTTTACCAAGTGTTACCTATGAAGAACATTTTTAAGTGTTCAATGGTAATTAACCCATCATTGAAATACCATCTCTCAACATTCTCTAGTGCATATATACTTTTGTAGGGGTTCAGGAATTATTCTGATTTACAGGTTATGGAGAGCATAAATATGTCTGCTAGGCTGAAATGGGAGCCATGTTTAAGTCACAGGAAAATAAAAGCATTAACCTAATTAACCTACTGAAGTGGCACAAATAACTAAGAGAGAAGGTATTGATTCAGTCATAAAGGCTAACAAACTTACACACTTGGAGATTCAGTTTTAGTCTTCTCTTGGTCACAGCAAGAATGTGAAACACCAGAAAGTTAATGACTGCATGGCACACAGCATTCTGGTATAATCACAACAATCTGGGGAATTCAAACAGATTGTGAAGGATTTCATGTGGAACAAACTATTAAAGAAGATTCCTTAATGAAATTTTTGAGTCACAGAGTACATCAAGTAATTCTGAGGAGAATCTTCAGGGCACATCAGGCATTTCTTTATATTGCTCCTCAATGAGTGCCTCAAGAGGTGCCAAGGTAGTTTTATCCTTATACAACCTGAATTTTAGCTTCTTTGCTGAAATTATCAGCAAAGGCACCAAACTGGAGGTGATTTCTCATCCTAAGCAAACTGTTCAGCCACAGCTTCTTTTGAGTAAGGCCAATGAAGTCAGAAAATGGTTTCAACTGACCCACATAGCAGAATCTCACAATCTCACATTCCATTAATGATCTCCCAGTCCCTTGCTTTTTTTTCCCCAGTGTCATTTTCAAACCAACCTTGTCACGTTTGTACCTTTCTACAACACCACAACCTGAACTGGATAAATCAACCCTTCAAGAGCAGGAGTTCCTTTAACAGCTTCATACAGACTCTAATGTGGCACTGAATAGCAGTATCTGCTTTGAAATTAGATTAAAAATGGGTTTTAATATATTTTTACATGTATTTTAGTTCTTCTCAATCTGAGTATCACTGATTTGCAATCACCATAAGAGAGCTAACTTATATGTAATTCTTGCTGCATCACTGCAAACACAGGATATTGCAAAAAAGGTACAGTTTATCAGTGAAACACTTTCATTTTCCAAAGGTAATTTACCTTTAAGTTATGAGGCAGAAAGAAGGCAACGTAGGTTAAATGTGTTACACAGAAAATCTAACAATGACCAGAATGCAGTTTTAGAGAAATGGAGGTTTAGAGGTGTGGAATTCTTAGAGCCCTATGGAGTAATTTCAGCAGGACCAGAAATGAATCTGATATGATGCAGCATAAAAACTGCAAGGATCTCATGATTCATTTTCATGGGGGAAGGGTGCAGGTTGAAACATGCTGCCTGTTCAAACTTTCCAGAACAGAACATGGAGGATCTTAGTTCTTAAAAACACCATCAGACAAACCATATCATCTGTGTGATCCACACAAAACCATTGTCTGCCAAAGCTCCAAACACATGAGCACTTAACAAAGGTTTCCAAAGGCTGGAATCAGTCTCTTCAGTCACTGAAAGAAGATTCACTATCAGAACTCTCTTCTGCTTTGCCATCATCTCCCCAGGCAGGCACAGGGGCATCTGGGGTCCTGCAGGAACAAAAACATTCTGTGCTGTAAATCCAGCTGAGAGCACAAGCGGCTCAGCACGTAACACCACCGTCCTTGCACGACAACTGCAGGCACTTTATTGCCACAACATTTAACACATCAACTGTTTATGGCTCACAAACTCACACCTTGGTGGTATTGCTTCACCTACAACTGGAAGGCAAACACTAGAAACTGTAACTCACTGGACATCAGAACTCTGTAGACATCAGAGTGAATGCACGCCTTTGATGCCATCAGAAATGATGACAGATCATTAAGAAGTGGCAAACACTTGTAGAAAGAGTTGAAAGCAGGCAATAATGATTAATTCAATTTTTTTTTCAATCTTCAGAGGTTGTTGGGCTGAAAGGAACATTCTGTACACCATTGAGCAGTGTAAATAGTACATGAAAAAAATAAGACAGGAAATGAACAATATTGTATCCAACTAAAACTGCAGGAATAATTTAGTGAAGCAAAAAAGAATTACTCAGAGTGGAATTTGGCTAGAACATTGGGTTAAATTTGACATGCAAGAGCAGCCATGGGATTTTTATTGACTACAAATGATCAGACCTCTTGTATTTAGTTTTAAAGAGATTATTTAGGATGGATCTTAACACTGTGGCAAAATGTTTGCTTGGGGAATCTACTGGAAATGAAGGTGAGAGAAGCAAGCCATCCAAAGACTAACTAACATTACTGCCTGAAGATGCTGGCTCTCCATGGACTCTCCCTCCTAAGTATGTAATGAATTTGACATTCAAGCAATACAGAGCCTGATAAAGGCTGAAAGCGAGGTAGAAAATACAAACATAATTATACTTGGGGGAAAATGACATTCAGAGAACCTCACTTCCTGTATGACAGTTAACATGTCTTGGATAAAATATTGCATTTTAAAGTAAGCTGACAGTTGTATTAATCATCCTGTTCTTATTTATGTTGGGAGTATAGAATTTCTTTTCCAACATTAGTTCTGTTTAGTGTAATTTCTCTGTTGGGAATCCCTAAGGTAACTTTAAAGTGTTCCTAAACATTTTTGGTGCACAGATGAGAAGTGTGTGAAAGAACTGCAGAAGACCCTTCTCCCTCCCCACTGCACACCTCTAAAACAAATGAAGAAAGCATTTGCTTTCTCATGCAAATACCACTTCACAATATTATTCCTTGTTGCTGTGGTAATGACAAAACAGAAGAGCTGTGCAAAGACGTGATCTGCAGAGACTAGTGCAAAACCTCTCATTTATCAAGAGGAAGATGATGCTGAATTCCTTTAACTCATGAGAGTGGGACAAACTCTTCTGGAACTGAAGATAGACAAGAGAGGAAGGATAAGAACCAAAAGTTAAAGATAAGTAAATTGGGAGCTTGATAGAACAGGCAGTTAACAAATGCTGTAGAAAGTTGAGAGGTGGAAAAGCCAAGAGGAGAGTGTATAAACAATACTGTAATCATTAGAATTAGCACACCTACAGCCACAAATAACCCATGCTCAGCCAATAGCAAGGAGCTGGGGGAGTCTGCAGTGAGTGACTGAGCACACAGCCATGTGCACATTTTCCTAATTTTCTCTGGGACTGAGTGAGCAGACCCAAGGAAGCTGAAGACCCAAGAAATGCAGTGTGAATGGCAAGACACATATGAAGGAAGAAGCCTACAGCATCATGACAAGCAAGAAAATTGAAAAGTCACCCCTGATACCTTAACATGTTCCACATTATGCACCTTGCCAAATAATTAGCTTTCTGTAACTAGTTTTCAAACCAGTAACATTTTAAAGAAAATCTGACTAAGCGTTACTGTTGCACAGATCTTTGAAGATGGATTTTGAGATCTATATTCTGTGAGCCTCAATCCACAATAATAATGTTTATTTCTTAACACAACATAGGCAATCCAAAAGCAGATACTTTTTAAAAACAGCTTTTCAAATTTTAACATATTATCTTTTTGTTTTATCTACTATAAAAATCCACCCAAACATGAAGAAATAGCAGCATTTATAGAAAGATATGGACTTGAAAGCACAGCAAAAAATACAATACATTTAACACACATATAGAAAACCTACATTTGCTAAACTTATCTCCAACTTGCACAGGGTCTTTTTTTTTTATTTCTCATTCAATCAGTAAAGAAAACAACTGAGGAATAACTACTTTAGGCTTATCTAGACCAAGAAGTAACTGGGAGCTAAAGTGACTGATGATATGATGATACTTCAGGTTTATTTTATTTAACAAGTAGCTAGTTTCAGAATAAGCCTTTACAAAATGTAAAAGGACTTCATTGGAAATGAAAAATGGATTTTTTAATACCTTGACAGTTTCTGAAAAGAATGCAAAAATACTTCAAACATTTTGGTGTCTATAATGTAAGAATGAAAGTTAATACTTTAATCAGTTTAACAAATTCTGTGAAATAATACAGTAGAACTAAATTAAATGTCAACTATAAAGTAAGACAAATTAATGTTTATGGCCAGACAAGAAGCTTTGAAAGTAACTATCTATTCTTAGTATAGCACTCTTCATATCAGATTAACTCAATCAACAGCCAAAATTATGAACTGCTGACTTCAATTTATGCTGTCAATTTTAAAGTCAAGGTGTACAATCCTCTACTGAGGGAACCTGGAAACAGCTGTGTTGTCCCTCAAGCATTCCACAAAATAAGCCTGAGTTTGCTCTTACTACTCTACAATAATGACATTTTCTTACTGGAGTGTTGAAAGCAAGTACCTGGGAAAAATCTCATAGTCTACACAGGGCACTGCTAATGGCTACTGACCTTTTATTTGAGTCCTCATTGCTAAATGCACACTGTCAGATGCTAGATTGTCACTGCTATAGCCCAGAACACCATGAACAACCTTTTCTAAGCATGTTTTTCCAAGTTTTTCAAACACACAGTTGCACTGCAGCCGTAGTGGGAGTCACAAATTACTTACTCGAGAAGATCTGGATTGAGCCCCTCGGAAATCATTTTGTTTCTTATTGCCATTACAGGAACACCCTGTGTAGCAGGAGGAAGAATAATATAAAACTACTGGACACAAACAGGTGAGATAAATAACACAGGTACTTTTAAACCACACTTTCATATAAATTTATGCATGTCACTTGTCAAACAACAGCGTGGAACATTAATCTCAGTTCCCATCAATATGAACCTAGAAGCAAGAAATGATTGAGATTAAAAGCCTGTTTAATCCATCTTATATTTATGGCAAAACATCTAGAGAAAGCTGCAGGGAGAGAAGAACCAAGACTGGATAGATATACCTGCAATTTGTGCACACAAAATTATGCAGCTGACATTATCTAAATGGATAAGAATGTGGAGAAAGCACAAAGTAGCACAAAGACAGCAGAGAAATTGTGCTAGGAAAGACTTGGGCATGCTGAAGGTATATCCAAGACAGAGGAGAAAACCAGGGAAGTGCATCTGCTACCCCTCCAGAAGGATCTTGTAAGGCAGTGCTAAAAGCTGGAGAAGTCTAAAAAGCATGGAGAAAAAGGCAAACAGGACATGAGAACAGAAGTACAATTTAAAAGTGAATTCTCTGAATACAGATGCTTGAATCTTGTGTCAGGCTTAAATCTTCTGTGACTGGTGGACAGATTTCAGCCAAATATGTACATGTTAAAAAAATTCCCTCCCTTCACTGCAAGTCCTTCCACAGCTTCTGCACCTTATTTTATTCATCAACACCTCAACATCCTCTTATCTTGGATCACATATCCAAGACCCACGCCCTCTCACGAGATCCATTCCAACAAACTGCTCCTGTGTTTCCACTATAGTTGCTCAAAGGCAACTTGTTGCTTTGCCATCTCCTGTTGGAAACCATCAGAAAGACCATCTGGATCACTCCATGCCAATATAGGATATGGGAAAAAAACCCAAACCAAACCAGGATACAATTTCTGATTCAAAAGGAACAAAGTTACTGGTGGTCTAAGAAATTCTAAATGAAAAGTGGTGCAGGGCTAGTATCTTTTGTCCAAAAGCAAGTAAAATAGGGCTAAAATAAAGGGCAGTCATGACTAATGTTCCAGAGAAAAATGTGATTCTAGTGACAGCTCCAAGGTAAGAACCACAATTAAGGATTGTGCATGAGCACTGTGGGACAGCACACACACAGGTACATAGCTGTAGCAATTTATCAGAAATGATGTCAAAAAAGGTCATTCAAGCAGCTGCAATGTAATACCTTGAAATAAAAGAATATCTCTTTACTTCACAACTAATGTGCATTACACAGGTGAATATTTTGAATATTTATTTGAGTATTTCATGATGGCTTAAAAATTGAGTTATTCTAGTATAGATCTGGACACTAGGGATTGTGTATCTGCACACCATCTTGTACTAATGTACTAACTTTTCCCCTGCTTCACTGCTCTTAGGATACTTTTCCCCATCTCAGAAGTCACTGATGAGTTGTTTATCCATCAATTCAAACCAGGTGAAAACAGAATTGAGTCTGATCAGGCAAGGCAAAATTCCTATTTGATTTCAATCAAAGGGAATTTGGTATAGGACTTCTAGGAATGGGTTGTTTTTATGTTCACACTTGGTGTGCATTAAAATCTGTGAGAAAAAAATCCTCTCAGTACCCTCATATATCACAGATCCGCAAAACTAATCTGAAGTTTAATCAAAATGCACTTTCAGATTTCTTATCTGAAGGAAAACAATTAAGATTGTACCTATATCTGTTTATAATACAATCAGGGCAATACAATTACTTTGTATTCCTAAATTTTAATCCGCAAATATGGTACTGCTTTTGTGTGATTTCTTGGAATATTGTTGTTAATTTTAAAAAGTAAGAATGTAGTATCCTCAATTGCACTCCACCAAATGAGTTTGTCACAATTTCATGGAAGAGCTACTTTTAGTTTAGAATGGTGCTCTTTTATACTACAAACATTGTGAGTAATAAATAAATTATCAGCTCAAAAAAATCTTCAGCTAGAAACTTAATTTGGGCAAATAAATGACACTAACTGAAATACTTGACCGGACAAGGAGACAAATTTGGCAAATACAAAAACACACATTAATTTGTAGTATGTTAGTTTGACTTTCCTACCACACTGTTTACAACTGGCAGAGGAGTCACCAGGAACTGCCAGTACACAGGAGAAATGTGGAAAGTGAGATCTCACTCCTCTAGCAGTCACAAAAAAAAAAAAAAATTCAAAGTAATTAGACCATCCAGCAGTTTCAAATCCACTTTGAAGTCTGGCATTAAATCAATACAGTAACATAGTGTTCTACTCTCTGCTACTATCCCACTGCTAGGTTTTCCAAATAGTTTGTAATGAGCTACCCATAAAGTTCCAATTTGTGATTCAAGTGAAAAACAAGGTTTGGAACACCATTCAAGGAATGAAGCAGACCAATTGTAATAATTTCTCTGAAGACTGAGTGAAACCATGAAGTTAGTTTTCACATAAGCAACATTTTATTAATACTATGACATAGTCATACTTTCCAGAATTATAGTATGTATTTTAGAGGAAAATTTCCCCTGACAAATTGAAAATAAATTGAAATAAACTCTTTGTTTCCAATCTCATTTTTAATGAGATTGTGGATGTGAAACGACCTCTTAAAAATATCACAAATAGTCTCCCATTCAACTTCTCATTTCTTCATTAGATTTCACACTTGTTAATATTGAGATTATAATAATTTATTTCCTATTTATCTGTAGCACAGACCACAGATAAAGATGTAAACAAAACCTGCATCATGAATAACAGGAAACTGGAGTGGAACCAGATAGTGAAGTAATCCTTGTATCTCTATTTTGGTCCTTACAGAGATATCAAGTACTCCTGTTCTGGACTATACTTGCAAAGCTGTATTTAGTACCCTCCAGTAAAATCAGGCTGTAATCAGTCTGTATGCAGGGAATGACTCCAATTTGCCAGGACAACTCCACTTTCAGTGGCATCTTCTGTGCCTCCGGCTAATATCACTTTGCCTTTACACATTTCACACTTCACTTCACAAGTCTACCAGCAGAATTCTGTAGAAAGATCTTGCCAGAAGCTGTCTGAGGGAATATATTACATTAATTCATTTGTTAGAGAAGATGTGCTAGAATATTATGATGTTATCCTACCTTAAAGATTAGTGTTGCAATATATATTTTCAGATATTTAAGGTTCACTTACAGCTGTGTGGTGCACTCCACCAAAAAATAACATGCTAGCCAAAGAATGACATGAGAACTGACTTACCACTTGTACCATTTTGAGGTATCTGGCATATCTTGGATCCTTGGCCACAGTTGTGACATTTTCTGTTACCACCTCTGTTTTCTGCAAACCTTCTTCTTGTGTATTGTTCTGCTGCATGTGAAGAACAAACCCTTTAATGGTTAGGTGCACACACCACAGCCCTGGAGAGATTCCAAACAATAAAACTAGGTATTTCAGGGTAAAGTGCAACTCTTCCTCATCAAGATTATTCTGAAATTCTTCAACTCTTCTTCATCAAGATTATTCTGATCCACACTCACAAAATTAGAGGTTTCCTAGATGTAAGAAATCACAAATCCAGCTCTTTTGTTGTTCACTGTTACAAGAGTGTCTTTCTACTTTTAGATACAATTTAAAGTTATTGAACAACACATAAAAAACCAGAAAGGCCCTAATAACCCTGTTAAGTTACATTTAATAAATATCACAGTATTAAATATAAATGGTCTTTTAATAAAAAATATTTATAAGAAGTATATCAATACATCTCCCCCAGTAGTCCAATGCCATTTTTCCTCAAAGTATTTGATTCCCTGACAAAGGTTTCATACTTTTCATGTAACTTCTAAACTACACTTTTGAGTATAAATCATTACTCAAAGGATAATGTAATGAAATCAAAGATTCCTTGAAAGTATTTAATTTAAATGAAATGAAAAATGACAAGAAGTTCTAGTAGTTTTAAAAGAACACAGAAAACTGTAATTTTTTCTACAAAACTAACCACCTGAAAGTGTGAAATATATGAACTTTATATACTTAAATATACTTTATATATTTCTATATCTGAGAGGAGGAACATCTTAAGGAAAATGAACTCATGGTGAGTCATTCTCTAATGTGGCTGGAACATGCAATGCTGTCCAGGGTCTCCCCTACTGCAAATCAGAGTTACAATCTTTGACAGGCAGGCAAAAGCAGCAGAGTGCTCCAGCTACTGCTTTTCCACAGCAACTTCCACCAAATAAGAAAATGAGCAGATATCAGAATTGAGGATTCCATGACAAGAAACTGTAAGGGGAAACCAGTAAAAGAACTCCTTCTACAAATGGGCCTGAAAGCCTCACTTAGTTAAGTGATGATCATGGGATTCAAATGTCTGGGTTAAAAAATCAACCAACCACACACAATAAATTCCCCCAAATGACAACAAGTTATTAGTATATTAATAATTAATATTTATCATATTTTCATGCTGATTGCTACTAATAAGCTGGCCTTTACTGTACATGGAGGATAATATACAGAAAACCTTCAATGTAATAAACTCTTTAGAATTGAGCATGCTAGAAATTCCAATTTGAGCTAAAAGCTCACATTCTGAAGAAAGGAGAAAAGAGTTGCAATGATGTGATTTGAATTGTTATTTTCATTCATGATCTTCCCAGCGCCCTGATGCAATTCCTGTTCATATTTTAGTGTGACTGAAGAAAAGGAAGGAGAAATTTAGCACTAGATTTAAGTTAGTTCTAATTATTTAAGTCACACAGTTAATAAAGGGTATAGCCTTTTTTTGTTTTAAGTCACTTGTTAAAACAGTGCCAGTAGAGAAAAGCCTACTCTTAGATTTTTACAGTTGATTGCTCACTTCCAATAGAATTGCTCCTTCTATCTACTGCAAATGACATTTAAAACTTGACCTGGAGAACTCTATTCCTCCAAGGTATGAGTTATGCCTCATTACTTACTCCAGGCTGAGGTGATCCAGCTGTCTGTGGATCTGTAGCAGCCTGTGCCACAGGACCATTTGTAACACTGTTCACATTTGCACTGGACACTTCAAATTTGACATCTTCTAGGCCAGGAATTGAGGATAACTAAATGCAAAAAACATCATCAAATAAGCAATGAGCACTTCATAAGACTACATGTACAACAAAATCTGCAGCACCCTGCTTACCACTTACTATCCAGGTAGGTTTTACATTAGTAAAATTGTAACTTTCTGCCCTTTGTTTTGGAATTTTGACTGGGGGAAAAAATCTTTCCATCCAGCTGCCTTCTACAATAAAAACTTTCACTGTTAACACAGGGCTGCAGAGCAGGAAAGGCTTCCACACCTTCCCAGCATTTTGCTACTGCATTTATCAACCACATGAGAGCCATGCAATCTCTGCTACTTCTCCTACAGTGAAAGAAATCATGGCAAGAACAGCTCTATCACCTAACAGATGGGAGACTGGTTACAAATTTTTGGATTTTCTACATCTTTCACTTTTTTAAAGGAAATTATGTGAAAGGATATTAAACACACCACAAATCTATTTGAAGGAAATTCTGTTTAACATGATTATGAAGAATTCTGCAAAAATTATTCATCAATTCAGATCATTCCTAAACATTTTGAAATAAATAAGAGTTAGTAAGCTCTGTTTGTATTATTACACTATTTTTTTCCCCACAAAGATCTTAATGGATGCTTTCAAAATATCCCCCCCCCTTGCTCCCAGAAAAGCCAACTGAAATTGCCTCCATCATTATTGAAAGAACTTGTTAAAATTTTATAGTTGCTGATTGATTGACTTTGGGACCTTGTTGGGTTTTTTTCCCTAGTAAATGATATACTATGTTTCCTATCTAAGACCACAGATTATATCTTTTTGTCATTTCAACTAAAGAAGATAAATAAAACTAATTTACATTAACTTAGATCCAGTCCAGGTCACATTTCAATATCAAAAGGATTTCAAAGGCTTCTCCCTAGTTACTTATATCAGCTGAAGTCCTTAGAGTCCAGTAACATACAAAGATATTTTTGTTTTACAAAGGGGGTAAGAATTTCTTTATTAGGGTTTGTATTGCAAAAAAAGTGTTCCTTTCCTGTTACACATGCTTAAAAAACTCAAATTTTCCCCTAGGTACTCTTGTTTCCTTTCTTCTGTACCAATTACATATTCAAATGTTACACAGTACAAGTAGTAAGGCATTAACTAGGGAAGAGAGTTAAAAAGAGAAGTTTTGATATCAGGATTTGATATCAGAATTTTCGTATCAGGCTCCTTCAAATCATTATGAAAACTTATTTGCTCAATTCAGACTCTAAAAAGGAAGCTAGTTCACATAACCTAGGAGGCTGTCACTCTTAGAAGATGAAGTCCATATCCATACAAACCTTTGCATCCAGAATATTGAGTGTGGTTTCAATTTGTTGGATACGGAGAGACAGTGCTGACAATTTCTACAACAGAAAACAATTAGGATGTGAAAACACTTCCCTATGCACTTGGACATATAAAAGAGTTTGCAGTTAGTTAAAAAAAAAAATCACATTTTTTAACTTCTCCCTGCTGAAGGCAGAGTACAGTGTAAATGAGATTATCACATTATGAAATGAATGAAGCAATGACAACCCTTTTTAGAACAGTAGCTACAGCAGTACAAATTTTAAATAATTTTACTCTGCAGTTGGTTTTCCCATATAATGACAGAAATGAAGACAGACTATTTGCAAAAGAAAGCCAAAGTAAATAGGGTATTACTTTGGGCAACTGGAGAATAATGGTAGACACATTGTACTCTCCCAGTTACTGAAAGATCTTCAAAGCTTTTTCCAAATGTGGAAGATGAAAAGAGATGATGTGTGTGTATGTAACTGAGCAAATACAAAGAGAAAATCTGATAATTAATACAGCAGGTGATTCAAAGTTCTATACAGTCAAAATCCACAATGAATCAGAACTAACCAGACACTTTATATGCTCCAGGTGCACCTCAATCAAATTTTGACTTTATTTTTAACATACAACTTAAGTTTTTCTAAATTACTCCATAAGAACTGCCAGTCTTTTAACTAATCACTACCATACTCCACCAGACCTGTCCAAGTGAAGTTGGCTAGAGTGCTGGCTGGCAGATACGTACCATTCTGACAGCTTTCTGGCACCTTGGCAAGATTCTGCCTGGCTCTGGATCACAACTTTAACACCCTAAGAAAATGGCAGTTCTGCCAATATGCTAGAAAAAGCAGGAGACTGACAGGAGTTAGTCTTTTTGGATAGAGCACTGACTTGTTTACAGATGGTCCTTTGTTCACGAAGAGGAGTCAGCTCCTATTGGAAGGAACTATGTGTTCTACATTTAACTGGATAAGGGGGAGGAAAGATGTACAAAAGACAATTATGTAATTTTATGGGTCTATTTGACTAGACAAGAGCCAAGAAATTTAGAGTTAAGGATGGTGTCAGCTCTGATTTTGAGTTTCTTGGCTTCTGTTGACTTACACTGCGACCTTTCACATTAAAAACACTTCTGTACTTCATGAATACGAAAAACTTCTCAAGGAGTATATAAAGCAACTATTTAGTCTCTTGAGTAACAGCACATTTCGGTTAACTAATAACTGTTTTATTAGGCAGACTTCACAGTGCTGCTGTGTGCTCAAGGTGGCTTTGAATATATGTGTTCTGATTTCCAGAGGGCCCGTGGAAGAGGGAATTCTGATATCAGGTGACAACTGACTCTTGGACAACTGACAACAGCATCATCAGGCAGCCACACTGTCCCACCTATCAAGTTACAAGAAGTTCAAAAACCTAGGAAAAATTACTTTTTTCCCTCTAAAGCTCCATATATTCTTGTAATATCCAAATCTTATACTTGTCACACGTCTGGCTCTAAACTTCAGCAACAAATAACAGAATTTCTCAGATTACATGGCTTAGTCTAATTGGATTTGACTGCTGCTCTGGCTCAGCTGGCTAGAGCTGTATGGCATTCTTTGTTGAATAAACTAATGACAAAGTACAAAAAACCTCTAAAGACAAAAAGGTTACCCTCAAAGCCACATTAGAAAACACCCTTTTTACAAGGAGGACTCTTGTCCTGTTCAGTGGACAATTCTAATCTTGTTGGTGTATTTCCATTGACTCTAAAGTCACATAAACTTACTAATCCTAAATATTTTTATTTTTCTCTCTTTTTGCAGGAAACTGAAGTTAAAGGTTTCATGTTCTATACTAATCACTTGCCAAAAATGTCCTTTTTCCAGCAAAAAAACTATTTGCATTCAGTGCTTAGCGTACGACTCTCTTGAATTAAAGGTGATAAAATCTGAAAGTAAGTTTTGATGGACCACAAAAACATGGCATCCTTCTTTCATAACAACATCAGAGCCAGAGATGAAGCTGCTCAGAATAAATTCCCTGTATCAAGAAGTTCAAAGACTGTTCCAAATGCAAAAGTTTAAGAAAACAGGAGAGTGTGGCACAATCAGGAGTTCATGTGGATCCCTTGGGGAAAAATTCTGTCTTGAGCACTTACTAAAGAGAAACCTTCAACAGAAAGCAGAGTACAGTTTTGGTTTAGGCTACCAGTATTACTGCATCAAAAACGTTTAAATGAATGGTTCCCATTTCTTGAATTTCTTTTAATTGTACCAAGGGCCAGCTGGGAAAATAATAAACATACCTCTTCACAAACAGTAGAAAAGCGGTTGAGAAACTGCACTGTGTGAACCACAAACTGGTTTAGAAATGCTACAGTTCTTTTCTGCTGAATAGCAGGAACCTGCATTAAAAAAGGCAAGAAAATTAGGTTACACATCAATGTCAAGTTTCACATTTGGATTGAAATATCTGTTAAAAATGCACATTTTTAAAAGAAATTGCTTGGAAATCTGTCTTAAGTGTGCCTGCTATGAATGCATACATACACACATGCATTGATACAAATCCTTTGCCACTAAAAATCTACTAACATGACAGCTGAGAATTTACAGGACACATAGAAAAGGCAACAAGACCCAAGAAATGAAGGATTGTTATCTCAAAGAAAACACCTTCAGATGAAATTGTGAATACTCCTGAAAATCAGAAGGAAAAACAAACTTGGCCAGCCATACTAAAACTCATTTACAACTAATGCCATGACGAAAACTGAAGTGTAGTGATGTTGCCATCTAAGTATTTGGTGGCTGCCCTACTGGTTCTCATTTGCACATCCAGACTACCCTAAAATGACCAAAAGTTATCCTCCAAATCAGTTTTGATGCTCACATACTTTTCAGACTAAAATGCAGAATCTTATGTTTGCCAAAAAGAATGGTGGTCATATTGCAGTACAGAGTTGGCTTTTTTATTTAAACTATTACAGAGGAGTGGATTCAGGAATTTGCACAGAAAAGTTTATGTATGAAATTTTAGTGCCTCAAGGTTAATAACCTTGGACAACTGGTTTAAGTTTTAACATTCCCAATGGAAATCAGCCTATGAAATGGTCATTGATTTAAGTGGAAGATTTACAAGGAATATTATTGGCAGCCAAGATTCTGCTGCACTTTTTTGGTGAATACAGTGACTCTCTGGTCTTCACCTCTTCTTTAGCTACTGATTTATCAGTGCATTCAATACACAATCCACTATGGCCATCTTAAAATATCCTGACTTTTTGTGAGACTTTTGTTGCTACTATCTTGAGCCTTCATCCTGCGCACTGTACAACAGCATCTGCTGAAGTTCAATTCTGTGGTTCCAAAATTTGCCAAGCAGAAATTTGCATTTGCTTATGACTTCAGAAGAAATCTGTGGGGTGGCATAGAGCATGGAAGAATCATGGGTGAATTGGAGCTCTCCTGCCTTTACGCTCTCTATTGAGAAAACTAAGATGAAAAAGAAAGTTTCTGCAACATTTAAAGAAACTAATACACAGCTTTACACAGGATTTGCCTCCCAGATCGATGTCTGAGACGGCTTAGTCTTTAAATACGAAGTTATCGCAGAACTTGCAGGAGAACAGCTGGACACACAGGGTAAGGACCAGAGGCCGCTCGTTCCCGCTGCGAGGGCGGCACCGTCCCCGCACGGGGAGCTCCCCTCGCCCGCTGCCGCCGGGTCGGGCCGGGCCGGGCCGGGCCGGGGGGACGCGGGGCTCGCCCAGCACCAGGGCCAGCGCAGCCGGGCAGGAGCAGCGGCAGCCGCGGAGCGCCGGGCGAGCGCAGCCCGTACCTTGGTGAGGTCAATGCCGGAGCCCACGATGGGCAGCCCGTCCTCGTCCATGCTGCTGGGCCGAGCCGGGCTGGGCCGGGTGCGGCCCCGCTCCGCAGCTCGGCCGCGCTCCGCAGCCTCGGCCCGGAAACAAACGCCGAGCTCCGCGGGGCGGGGCGCGCCCGCTGCCCGCGCTTCCTCCTGGGAAACGCAGTCCCGGAACGGAGCCCTGTGCCCCGGGATAAACCCCGGGGATGAACCCCGAGCTCCTGGGCTGCCTTCTTGGGCACCCGCTTTTTTGCATTTTTTTTGCATTTTGCGATGCAAGTGTTGCCAGCCGCTGAGGGACCCGGCTATGCCCCTCACTGCCCCACACTGACACCCAGCCCTCCATAGGCCTCAGGAAAGGGCGCTGCATGGTGGTGTTTGGGAAGTGTCGTCCCCTGCAGTAAAATGTCAAGGAAATAATGAGAAAAGCCAGTGAAGGAACTGTTCCTGTGCTCACACGCATAATTTGGGTGGGGAAGTGCCACACTTTGGATGTGGGGAGTCAAAATAAGGAGCGCTGAATGGCTCTGGGTTCTTACGAAATAGACAAATTTGGGGTGATCTGGAGGCCTTGTTTACAGCAGTAAATCCAAAGAGACTGTAGTGGATTTCCATATTTAGTGGAAATTCTCCACGGTTATGTCTAAATACTGCTGCCTTTAATGAACCCTCCTAAATTCAGGACAGTTAAGAAACCATCATAGTCTGAGGATATCAGGTGGAAACTTCTTTTGTGATGAGATGAATAAAGACACACTAATTACTGCAATACTTTGAAGACAAAATCCCAAGTGTACTATGCTAATTTTGGTTTAAAATTTACCAACATTCTCAGTTTACTTCCAAATCATCACAGTTTGCCAAAACATTCTACAAATCCATATACAGAATCAATGGTAGCTTTACACAGAGCATTTAGTTCTATTACTCCAGTTGCCATAATTTTGTCAATTATTTACTGAAACAGCTTTTTTGGCTTTATTACTTTCACAATGTATTTATTACTAACCTGCTGTCATATGCATGTCATTATTACATTATTACAAGATAGTATAGCAAAGTTATTTTTGTCCATGCTAATTGAATTATTGAACATCTTCTGATTCATACTCAGCTTTGGAGCACTGATGTTGTTGGCTCAATTTCTCACCTCTCCCAAAGGATGAGCAGCAGACTAACCTACAAAATTCAGTGGGTTTAGCTTTCAATCCATAGCTTACAGGAGTTGTTCAAATTTGTGTCGGGCAACAGAGCTGTTTATTTAACTAAGAGTTATTTTGCACTAATTTGAGTTATTTGTTTATAATTACCTTAAAATTCCAACTAAATATATTCGAGAAGAATTAATCTTGTTTATCGTTAAGTGTCTATAATAAATTTTTTCCAGGCAATGGCACTGAAAATTAATGTAAATGCATAGCCAGATCTTATCTGAATGTCTTGGTCTGGATAAGAAATCTCCCAAGAATATGCTATTTTATGAACTTTCTGGTACTTCCTGCTTTTAATTTGCCCAAAAATACTACATAGAAAAGTGCAACACAGCAGTTTTTCCTCCCAGCTGGAGTTAGGAAATGCAGGGTATGAAAAGTGAAAAACAGAAGGGAGGAAATGATCCATATTTTCCAAAACCTCTTAAAAAAGTTTAAATTGAACTACCTTGTTTAGCTGTAAATATAAATGCCTGAACTTCTAAGGAGAGGATTTATAAAAAAAGAATTGAGTGATAATATCCAGATTTATAGTGTGTACAATTTGAAAATGTATTTTTTACCAGCACCCATGCTGGATGATAAATGTCAGACTGAGGAATAAGTACTGTACAGTATGTGACTGCTGGCAGTTTTACCCTATGCATGTGTACATATATGTATTGTCATTTAAAAGCCCTGTTCTGTAGCTCCACCTTCCAGTGAAGGAAAAGAGATTAAAGAGTGTTTAAGAGTTACCAAAATGAAGTTTGGTTGAACATTAGTATTTGAAGATGTCAGCTTTTCAGATGCTGAGGCTAGCTTGGAGTGGAAAAGCTGTGTGTACAGAAAACTGATCAGAGCTGTATCTTCATCACTGGTAAAAAATACCTGACTTGTGATTAGGGTACACAGAAAAGGCATTTATTTAAAAAGCATTGAAACTGATCTGCTCCATATATTGCACAGAATCAGAGCCTCAGGTTAACTTCAAAATAAAACTGCACAAGCTGAGAAAAACTAGCAAGTGCTACTGAAGCTTACAATGTTGATATGCATCTTGTGTGCTTATATTCTGTTACAGGTCCCAGGACACCACATTCAGGTTAGAATCAGCCCAGAACTCAAATAGCTCTACAACTGAGAGAGACAAGTTAAACAGAAACAAAAAGCTGATCCAAAAAAATTTCCAGACACGGTGTCACCTGATCCTCCACAAGGGGCAATAGTTGTTTTTAATAAGGTGGTCCAATGAACAGCTGAAAAGATCAGTGTGGATTACCATTTGCTTGATTTCCCATGGAGTCTTCTAAATCCATGCTTGCAAACGGTATTCTAGTAAAATTTTCTCTATGAAACCAATATTGCATCAATAATTTTTCTCCATGGTGAATTTAAGCAATGTCCCCTCCAATCTCAATAATCTAAGTGTGCCAGAATTTGTACAATCCTTGCAAACAATTCAGAAAATTATCAACCCTTCACAGTTAAATAGACTGAGAAATACAAATGTTAGGTATTATGTAGGTTTCTTAAAAAAAAAAAAAAAAGAAAATGGAAACTAAATGATAAATGTTTTTCAGTTCTCTGAAAATGGTTTGTCAAGTTTCAGTTTTCCAAGTACTGTGCTGAGGCAACATGAGAGGATTAACTAATTATTTTGTTCTGTACAAAAGAGCATGGAGAACATGCAAAAGACATTAGCTGCTTTCTTATTTATTTATTAATTTAAATATCCATAGTACTTCTTTCCAGTATAAAATGAAGAGCCTTGAACTTGGCAAGATCATTCCTGTGTAAACAGTTTTAAGTAGTCCTTAAAAACAGAGTATGAAAAGCAAACATCCTGGTTTCTGAATTGACTACAGAACAAAAGAATTTCTGTTCTTTGCTCTCCTGGGTCTTAAGCAATTCTAAACCCAAAAAGTCTGACTCAAGAGTGCACCTGCACATACCCTTGCATATTGCCCTTGTCTGTATGGGTCTTGAGTATAGTGGATATATTCTGCACAGACAGGAGCTGTGTGAAGTTTTCTCTGAGGACAGAAAACCTCACGTCTGTTTCAATTCCATTACACACCAAAAGGATAACAGTGCCTCAGGTCAATCCTTCCACCCAGAGGCACAAAGATTCTTAGCTACAAGTGAATTAAACCTCCCCTTAAGCTGCTATCTCTGCTCAGACAATGAATACAAGATAAACAGAGCACTGTTACCTTGCAATACCTGCTTATTTTACAGTTTAGGCACACACCAGTCCACTGCAGCTTATAAGGAACTTCATATTCATTTTAGGTAATTTTTGGTACCAGCTGGAAAGCAAAAGCTCTCAAGGATAAAGGATTATGAGAAATATAATATGGTCCTAGGTTTCAAAAGGTGACTGTAATTTCACTTATTGATGTCCTACTTCTGAACTGGTCCCACATAAATAGGAACAACCAAACGAATATTTTAAAATCTAACTACAGCTAATGAGGAGGGCTACAATGCTGTAAGGAGCTGCTACACTAGTGAAACATCCTGACATCCCTTCACTTGCAAAAGTATGCAAAAAAGATACTTAAGACAGGAGTTTTTTCTGTCTTCTTCTTTTAATTCTGTTCTGGGTCTTGTGTGGGAATGACAGGAAAAATATGTTTCTACAAAGCAGAATGCCTTTGATATTCCTGTAAAGACTGGAAGTAGAAGGCTGTAAGCAGAAAAAAAACCTCACTATCCTGATTGACAGGCCTAAAGTCGTCTTTAGAGAATAAAACTGCTTCAAATTATCATTCTGATTTTACCATCAGCTTCTTCACTGGTAGTGGTAACTAGTTTATTCAAAAACATCCAGGAACATCATTTTATCATGGTACACTACTGCATTTTTTTTTCTTATAAGATAGTCATGGTTGGCAAAGTTAATATTGAGAGGTGCTCTTTCTGTAGGTACTCTGCACAATATCAGGTATTTGAACTCTATTAACTAAATGAGATTATCAGAATGACATGCTGGGACACAAAATCTCTTTATAAAACTCCTGAAAAAAAAATTCACACCAAATACCATGTTTAAAAAGTACATTTTATTCTAATAGAAATAACCAAGACGTATGATAACCAATTTTTCAAAAGCTCTTGTACTTGCAAGCTAAAAATCAAACACAAGTGATTTGTATCTTGCTTTCTTCTTTCTTCTGTTGTTCAAGTGAAAACCGTCACAAAGAGTAAATTTCTTCATTTTACTAGAAAAAAGGCATTATGCTGTCAAGCTTCATATTGAAGGCAAATGATTATTTTACATTTCAGTAACCCAGAAGAAAATTTTATGGTCTCCTCCAACTGCACATAATGGAAGAGTTCTGTGCCATGTCAAACCAGATCCTACAGCTGCAGTTCCAGTAAGGATGGGCTGTAAAAAACAAAGAGAGAGAAAAACATCAATACAACTTCCCTTATAAATGATTTTTAAACTGCAAATATCAAGTTGCATAGACAAAAAACTAGCAGATTAAATACTCCTTAACAAATATAGTTAAAATACAACAGAAATTTTACTGAAAAATGTGAATCCCTGCTACATAGCTCCAGTAGCTGCTTATAGCAAAATATTCCTTAATAACAAATAGTTTCAACTCTTTACATTAGCATAAACACTATTATTATAAAGGCATGATATCAAACTTAAAAACTTTTTAAAATGAAATTACTTCTGTCATTTCAATGTATTCATAACTAGTATGTTTGGAGGTAATATTTTTATTGTAAGCATTGCAAATATATACTGACTCCAGCAAAATCAAAATATTTCCTATGCTTTGCATTTTCATTAATGATTTAAAATATAATTATAAAATTATATATAAAAATACACC